GGAACAAAAAGGAAAATCTGCATACCATCGAGCAGATGCCTGATGATCAAAGTGACACCTTGTCTGAAGAAGAAGTGCCCTGCTATGTTTTGTCTTTGAAAGGGGGCTCCCATGAATACTGGGTAACCTCACTGTTGGATGGCAAACCGGTACGCATGGAAGTGGACACTGGTGCAGCAGTTTCATTGGTCTCAGACTCGGTGTATAAGGAAAAGTTGAAGCATCTTCCACTTAAGGCAACAAAGATCATTCTGAAGACATATACAGGAGAAGCAGTACCCCTATTGGGCACTACTGATGTTAAGGTGGAACTAAATGGACGGACTGCAGAATTGCCACTGTTTGTGGTGAAAGGCCATTACCCAGCCTTAATGGGGAGATCATGGCTTAGGAAGATCCCACTGGACTGGGCAGAAGTGCACCGGATGACTAAAGAAGAAACAGGTCTGACTGATATATGCTGCTGTTTTTGGAGAGGATCTGGGAAGTATGAGGGGAATCACTGTGAAACTGAACATTAAACCTGGTAGCCAACCAAAATATCTGAAGGCCAGAACTGTGCCATATGCTATCAGGCCAAAAGTTGAAGCAGACCTGGAGCGCCTAGTAAAAAATGGAGTCCTAATACCAGTTACCCATAGTCCATGGGCAACTCCAATAGTTCCAATATTGAAGAAAGATGGTTCTATTCAGATTTGTGGGGATTTTAAGGTCACTGTTAACCCTGTTTTATGTGCAGAACAATACCCCCTTCCTCGCATCGATGACATCTTTGCGGGCCTGGCTGGGGGACAAAAGTTCAGCAAGATTGATTTAAGTCAAGCATATTTATAGATGCAAGTTGATGAGGAATCCCAAGAGCTGTTGACTATTGTGACTCATAAAGGGCTTTATCGTTACTGTCGCTTACCCTTCAGAATAACTTCTGCCCCAGCCTTGTTCCAGAGAGCTATGGACCAGATCTTGTGTGGCTTGCCAGGAATTCAGTGCTATCTTGATGACATCCTGGTCACAGGTGGGGATGAGGAGGATCACCTTAAGAACTTAGAGGCTACCCTACAAAGACTGGAAGAGTATGGCCTACGAGTCCGTAAAGATAAGTGTGCATTCTTTCAGCCCTCTGTTGAATATTTGGGACACATCATTGATGCTACTGGTCTTCATAAGTCCCCTTCAAAAGTTAAGGCTATTGTGGAAGCTCCACCCCCTCAAAATGTTAGTCAACTTCGCTCATTTCTAGGACTATTGAACTATTATGGAAGGTTTATTTCACAGCTAGCCACACTATTAAAACCACTTCACGAGCTCCTTGGCCAGAACAAGGTCTGGAAGTGGACTGACGTCTGTGATGTTGCATTTAACGAGGCTAAATGTGCATTGCTAAATGCAGAGGTCCTGACGCATTTTGATCCATCCTTACCTTTACAGTTAGCTTGTGATGCCTCCCCATATGGAGTGGGAGCGGTCTTGTCACATGTTATGCCCTCAGGAGAGGAGAAACCAATTACTTTTGCTTCACGCACCTTAAGCACAGCTGAAACTAACTATGCGCAAATTGAACGTGAAGCATTGGGAATCATTTTTGGAATTCGGAAATTTCACCAGTACCTGTTTGGACGGAAGTTTACACTTCTCACTGACCATCAATTCTGACGGCAATTTTTGGTCAACACTCAGGTATTCCACCAATGGCTGCTAGTCGTATGCAACGATGGGCATTGTGTCTTTCAGGACACACATATGAGATCAGATATCGGAAAGCCACTCTACATGGCAATGAAGATGGTCTCTCTAGGCTGCCTTTGCCAGTCAAACATCAAGATAGTGGCCAGAAGGAAATCTTTTACTTTGAACAGGTAGAGAACATGCCCATCACTGCTGCAGAAGTTAAGAGAGCAACTCGTGTTGACCCAGTACTCTCCCAAGTAATGGAACTAGTGATGCGTGGAACATCTCTACGGAACTCTCAGGTCTCATCTGACCTTGTCCGTTACATGTCCAGGAGAACGGAGTTATCAACCCATTCGGGCTGCTTGTTGTGGGGAATGCATGTCGTTATTCCAAAAATACTGAGACAACAGATGTTAGAGCAACTGCATTCAGGTCACTGTGGAATGGTGCGCATGAAAGAAATTGCACGAAGCTATTTTTGGTGGCCTGGAGGAATGTACCTCAATTGGCATCTCTACCCCCGTGGGACTGACCTGAAAAAATGTGGCAACATATTCACGTTGATTTTGCTGACCCATTTGAAAGTAGCATGTTCTTGATAGTGGTAAATGCCCATTCCAAATGGACAGAAGTCTCTATAATGCCTTCCACTATTGCTAAGAGTACTATCCAAAAACTACAGGTATAAGTTTGTCGTTTTGATCTTCCAAAACAACTTGTGAGTGACAACGGTCCACAGTTTGTGTCTCAGAAGTTTGGAAATTTTATGAAAGCAAATGGGATTCATCACTTCACTTCAGCACCATATCACCCATCCATGAATGAATTGGCTGAAAGGTTTTTGCAGACAATGAAACAAGCTTTGAAATCAGCTAGAGTACATTCACTCATGCAAAAGCGTCTGGACACCTTTTTATCCTACAGAAACATGCTTCATGCTATAACCAAAATGTCCTCGGCTTTTCTAATGATGGGGCTTCAGCTGTGTACTTGCTTTGATCTTCTGAAAACTTCAGAACCGTGACAAATTGTGCAATGTCAACAACAATGTCAAGTCATCAGGCATGCATCCAGAGCAAAAGACCGAACCTTTAGTCCTGGACAGATAGTTTTGGAGCTAAATGGGTCCCTGCCATTGTCATAGCTCAAACAGGACCTGTTTCCTATACTGTCCGGACTGCGAAAGATCTCATCTGGCTGCGACATGTGGATCAGTTATTGACAAGTTATTCCTGCCCCCAAGGCACATCTCCAGTTGAGTTGCCCGTCCTTCCCACTGCTGGTGAGCTACCGTGTCAAGAATCACCTGCTCATGACTCTCTTCCTCCATCACCACCAGCGGCAAACAATAACCCCCTCCCTGAGCAGGCTGTTCACACTTCAAGTTCCCAGCCCAGTGTCAGGCTTGCACCCATAACATCTTCGGGTGCGAGAACGCCAGATGTCCGCCGTAATCCACCTAGAGAAAGGAGGCCTCTTCAACAGCTGGACCTTTAGTTGAGATTAACTCACAATGGGGCAAAATAATCCCCAGGGTTAGCTGGGAACTTGAGGCGGTCTACTCTCATTTCATAGTTAGTTTTTGTTTTCTTAAAGGGATGTTTTTATTAAGGGGGGAGGAATATGTTGTATATTGGGTTGTAGGTCACTGGGGTCAGCCCAGCTAGTCTGGGCTTGTTCTAGTGAGTTCTGTGCTATGCAATAAAATGGACACTTGCACCTACTCCAGCTCTCTGCCTTTCCACTGATTTCTTCCTATGCTGTGAAAATGAGTAAGAGAAGCAGAATTGCATGTGTGTACACTATGGGCTGAGCTGATAGTGCCACCTGTTGTTAAGCTTGCCCAGCAGTTCCTATTATGAGATCCTATTTTCGGTTATTTATACCTTTGCCCAACTTTAACCATTTAGGCTGCAATTTTGTATGCCATGTGCCTGCCTCGAGGTCTGCGTTGTTTAGAAATGTTTAGCCCAAAACCAATTCAGCTGTTTCTAAGAATATAGGCAGAGGAAAATTAATTTTTATCCAGGTTAAACATTTTAAAAAAATCTGGCAACCCTATCTTTGAACAAAATTGCCATCCCCAAACTTTGGAGCCTTGTCTTGAAATTTGGGATTGGTTACCTTAGATTGAGGAATGTGCCCTGGATGACAAAGGCCTGGGATTCCAGGAAACAGTGGAGACAGCAGCTGTGATGGTGAAGCAATAGCATCTGTTCCTCTTTCCTCCCAGCTAAAGTCTTTTTAAGCAACCTAGAAGAGAATATTGGGGAGAATAGCACAGTCCCTTATTATTTTGTTCACCAACTAGGCCTAATATCTGACATTCCGGTTTTGGTTCAGTAATTTCTGGACCTGCTTTTTCTTGTTCATCAAGCATGATCTTAATTTGGCCCTTGAGTTATATCAATGTGCCTTTTGGTTTAGATTATTTTTTGTATGTCTCCCTTTCATACCTTTTCTCATCAACATGTTCTAGGTTATTGTGACGACATATGAATTTTTACATGTAACAGTTGGGTTCACAGAGTAAATATGTAAACCTAATGATCAAATTAGTCCTTTCCTCAAATCAGGCCTACCAATGGTGGGCAGGGGAGGGGTGGCAACTGTCCCAGAACCTGGCAATTCAAAAGGGACTAAGCTCCCAACTGCTGTCAAAGCTGCTGCAGCAGCAGCGGTGCATGGTATCCTGGGTCCTTTAAGTCACCCCTGGAGCTCTGTGCTCAAGGCAGCTCTTAGGGCTGGCTGGTGCTCCATTGTCCAGGCAATACTGAGGGTTGGCTGCCCTGGTCCCACCCCTTCTGGGAGCATGGAGCCACTCTTCCGCCTACCTTATCCAGGGGCTCAGTTCTCCTGTCTCTAGTGAGTAGGGCGTGGGACTGTACCAGTGCCTTGGAATATTCTAATATATATCCAAGTATCTTTCATTATATTGAAATGATTCATAATTCTCTGGGATATTTAATTAACCTCTAAACTCTCTGGATAAAATAAGTCATGTATTTGATTACATCTTTGTTGCTTTCATATACTTAAATGAGAAATGTTTTTGGGCAGACTAGATATTTATGGTAACAGTGAAATTCTTGAGAGCTTAGGTGCCATAGGCACTAGATTGGCCCTCTGCACAGTTGAATTGTTGTTTCCTGGAAAGTAATTGCATGTGACCTGATATTATCATGTTGCTTTGTTTACTCTAGATACGATTTATTCTGCTGTTCAGCCGACAAGGGAAATTAAGACTTCAGAAGTGGTACATAACGTTACCTGACAAAGAGCGGAAGAAGATCACACGGGAAATTGTTCAGATTATTCTGGCTCGCAATCAAAAGATGAGCAGTTTTGTTGACTGGAAAGACCTAAAGCTTGTTTACAAAAGGTGTGAGTAGTTTTATGTGAATGAAAATATATAATATGAAGAGAAGAGCTTGAAACTAGGAATAGGGCACGATGATTCTAAACAAAATCAGCCTGCTTTTTCCCCATTCCATAAATTGACATGGTGAATTGCCATTTGAAAAATACCAGTATTGCTTATCACAGAAGAAAAATGGGAGTGAACATTGATTGACAGTTTAAATTATAGACGATGCTTTGTCTAGTTCATCTTGCTAATTCAAAGATATAATGCTGAAAAGCATGTTCTGCTTTGTCAGTGTATTGCAAATGTATTGTATTCCCTTCCTTTACTGTTACAGGAAAGAAATGAAGGCCCTGTAATAGCAGTCTACCTCTATTTAGCAAAGCACTAAAGTTTAAGCATATTCTTAAGTGGCTTGTTGAAAAGGAATAGGCTAATAGAGCTTTAGAGGCATTGCTGAAATGGGGCTCCAGCCACTATCCCAAGAAGAACACTCAAGTGGATCTTCCTTCAGTTTTAGGAACTGGGAGGATTAAGTAAATACAACTGTTACAAATCAGTAAAAATTGATCAGCATGAGTAGTTACACGCAATCTATTTCTTAAAGAACACATAAATTGGCCTGTTAACCATCTGGTAGCCTGACTAGTGACCCAAATGTTTCTTTTTATGCTTATTTTGTTAAAGCACAAAATTATTCTACAGACTAAACCAATACATCTACAATACAGGCTACAGCAGCACTTGGGGAGATTTTTGTCCCATTCCAGTTGCTCTTTTTAAGTGCAGTGCTGAAGCTTAAGTACTGACGAGGTAGTCAATAAATCTGCCCAGCATTTTTTAAAAGATTAATTATTTAATGTTAATATATTATTTTTAAAATTAAATGTGCAGAGAAGGAAAATCAACTCATCTGTTAAGCTACAGCTATTTTAGAGAGTTTACAGCAGCAGCGCCATAGCGATGCAACTGCATTGCTATATGCTCTGTAATGTAACTGCTCTAAGCAAATGGGCTAGAGCTTCCCCATTGACTGAACTACTCCAGCTTCATAAGCAATGGGTGTAGTTCTTTTGCTGACATAACGCTGTTTACACTGATCTAAGCACCAGGATAATATACGTTGCTGAGGGGGGTGGCTTTTTACATCCCTGAGCAACACAAATTGCATATAGACCTCGCTTCATTGAAGAGAACAGGCTTGCATAGGCAGAGAAATTAATCAAATTATCTCTGATTGAGTTATTACTTTATGTTTTACCGAACACTCACCTATTTTCATTTTTTAGGTATGCTAGTTTGTATTTTTGTTGTGCAATAGAAGACCAGGATAATGAGCTTCTGACACTAGAAGTCGTTCATCGTTATGTAGAACTGCTGGACAGGTATTTTGGCAATGTAAGTTTTTCTTCCTTATGTTAGTTGTGATCATTTTTGCCCTTCAGTTATTCGTCACAAGCCAGGCATGAAAATCTCTGTAGCTGTTTTTACTCAATCTTTCCCTCTGCCTTGCCTGTACCATGCCCACACATCCAGGATGAGGTGTATCATCAGCATTTAACAGAAAATAGTTCCCATCCTATTCTAGGGAGTTTAGGTTCCATTATCTGCCCATCCCGAAATAGAAGTTAGTCCAGATGTTTAATATGCCACATCTCTTCCGAGAGGAGATGATGTCTAGCAAGTTTAGGAAAAATCAAAAATAATTTTAATATTGAGGAGGGTTTTTTTCCATTTAACTCCTGTCAAGCAACAGGAAACTCCACATGAGGGCATGGGATCAGCAAAGTGTGGATGAATAATGAGGTGATATGAGCCAGAGAACATGGAGATGGTCCAGGGATGGCAATTGGGTGTTACAAGAGACCCACTTTTATAAATATTTTCTACGATGTTCTCCTGAGCAGCTAATTTATCTGACTATTGAATATAAATCATTGTGCAAGGTCTTGGTTTTGGCCTATCAGAGACTGCAAGATGTTTGTGGATGGGAATATGTTTTCCTCTATGAAATGATTTTTAATAAGTATTCCTTAGCCGTGTTTAAACAGAGCTGTTTATATTTGGTTTTTGTTCATGCAGAAAAGAATATGATTTCACTTGCACGGAAGTTGTGATATCACCTAATATTCAGTGTTTCTATTTCTCACTTTACTGTCTGCCACAAGAGTGCATATGTTGAATAGGTTTGGCACTCTATCAGCTCTAGGAATGTGAATAAATATAATGCTATACTACCATTCCTAAATGTGTGCTTTGCTTCATCAGGTATGTGAACTGGATATTATCTTTAATTTTGAGAAGGCCTATTTTATTCTTGATGAGTTTATAATGGGTGGAGAAATACAAGAAACATCAAAGAAATCAGCAGTGAAAGCCATAGAAGATTCTGATATGTTACAAGAGGTGAGGCAGACAGCGGAGGTACACACTTCACTACAGCTTTCTTGTCTGACAAGAGCGTTTGATATCCCAACATGTGTGAAGTTTAGTGCTATGGGGTACAACCATAGATTTACAAGAGGTGGCAACATCTCATTCCCTTCAACTATCTGGTATACTGTGATATGGTATGAAGATAATTATTAGGGATGTTAAAAATGTGTATTTGTGTAAACACGTAACCGCTGACATTTTTATCGTTACATGGTGGGGAGGGCCAGTGAGAGGGGTGCGGGTAACCATTAGGATTAATCGATGAGCCCAGGCTTATCAGTTAATTATGTGAGTGAATGCACTCTGGCATTCCTAATATTTCTATGCCGTTGATGGCTACTCTGCTATTAGAATTTTTGTTTAATACTGCAATATAGATTACCTGAATGTTAATGGGGTTTGTTTTGTTTTTGTTTTGGCAATTTATTAGTGAAACAGTAATAAATGACCTACATTGTAATACTGTATCATACTCAGCACAAGTATGTGCGGGTAACCTCCAGTTTGTCCATAACGAGGCCATGTAATGGTTTCTGTGAGGAATAGGTATAAGATTTGTATTAAAAAACCCACAGGAATGAGCTTCATTTTCTTATATTGTAAATTACCTTACCAAGAATGGTAAGAATTGGCAAATGCTACAGATGATTCAATTTTTATTATCATGGAATCAAACAACAGGCTGATGGAACTAGTTAGGAAAACACTGTGGCTGTGTCTACACTGGGCCACTTATTCCGGAAAATCAGCCGCTTTTCCGGAATAAGCTGCAAGCTGTCTACACTGGCCCTTGAATTTCTGGAAAAGCAACGATGCTCTACTGTACAAAATCAGCCGCTATTCCAGAAAAACTATTCTGCTCCCGCTTGGGCATAAGTCCTTATTCCGGAACACTGTTCTGGAAAAGGGCCAGTGTAGACAGCCCAGTAGTCTTTTCCGGAAAAAAGCCCCGATCGCGAAAATGGCGATCGGGGCTCTTTTCCAGAAAAGTGCGTCTACATTGGCCACAGACGCTTTTCTGGAAAAAGGGCTTTTCCAGAAAAGAAGCCTGCCAATGCAGACGCTCCTTTTCCAGAAAAACTGAAAATGGAATAGTATTCCGTTTTAAGCAGTTCAGGAAATTCATGCCAGTGTAGACACAGCCTATGTGAATAGGCCCTTCGTTTTTTTTCCATCCTTTTGTTTTTTTCCATCCAGCTTCTTCATCACAGGCTGGAATTTGCACATGCTGATAGGGTAACAGAGTGAAATGGCCCGGAAAGAGTTAAGAGCAACCTGTCTGTCAAATAACTCAGTATGGATTTAAAAGGGGTGGCGAGAGGGGCAAGTGGAAAGGCTTCTGATGATTACTTTGGTCAAAGGAAAAGCTCTGTTTTGTCTTTTGAATAATACTCTGTCCTGAAGCAAGGTCCTGAGAGAGGCATGGGCAAAGTACTAGTTCTTCTTTGGACTGTTGAGGAAGCCCATCAGTTTGCAGTAATGACACGTACAAAAGGCCAGCTAGATAAGGCAACTACCTGTGCAAGTTAGCTGCTCAATCTAACTTGGGTTTAAAGTTTATTTTAGTTGTTGTTTGAGTGTTGATCCTATGGCTTGGATATGATGGAAATCCATCAAAAATTCCAATCCTGTTCAATGGGAGTAGGGTCGGGTCCTTACTAGGCATGTTAATGGGTAACTGCTTAAATGGTTACCCATTACCTGGGAGCAAACCCCCTCCTGCAGCCCAGCTATGGGTAAGGAGATGCTTCAGCCCCTTTGGGTCCCCCGCATGTGGTTGCCAGGTCCCAGCCCATGCAGGAGCCACAGACACGGTGGCAGTCTCTGTCTCCTTCAGGCACCATTCTAGCCTGACCCCAGCAGGCAGGAGGGCCCCTTCAGCCCTGCTGGAGCAGCCCCCCCCCCACCCATCCACCTTTAAACGGTTAAAGGCAGTGGTAGAACTGCATTTAACCATTTAATGAATTAAACATGATTTTATATCCCTAGTCCTTATTGTATCTTATAGTACTTTACAGTCTAACACCTCACCTGCTTTTTTTTTTTTTCTTCAGACAATGGAGGAATATATGAGCAAGCCTGCATTTTAACTTTCAAACCTCCTGGAGGAACAGAGATGCTGCTTACTACCTGTGAAATTCACTTATTGAAATTGCTTTTCTATGTGCCAGATCCTCTGAGAAATACCAAAAACCAATAACTAAAGGGATTTGTATAGTAGTCAAAATGAAGGTCAGCTCCAGTAGTGTATATTATTCTTTACAGGAGTTTTTTAAAACTGTTATTACGTTTGTTCTAACCACTATCCTCCTAGACTAAATATGAGTTTTATACAATGGCTTTTAGCTGTGAACTTTTTCAATCTAAGAAATTATTTGCAAAAGATATTTATACTAGTTTTGATCTATCACTGATTGCATCAATATACTTTTGTAACAGGATATTTTTTGAATGTAATGATTGTTCAGGTCTAATAATAATAATTTTTCTTAAAAGCTGAGATATTTTTCTGGAGTCTGCTTTGAGGACATTGCCACTTAGAGCAAGCAAAATGCATATGCATTTCTTCAGCTCACTTTCTAGTCTTAGTATTAGGAGTCCTGTCTTCCTTCTACCACCTGCTCTTCTACCCAATAAAAGGAGAGCTTTTCCATCCCCTAAGTCTACCATTGTAGATAAATACTAGAAGGCCACATTCAATGCCTATGCAAGATTTTGTGATCTGCTATGTCCATCATGTTTCTACATGATTGTTAGAGCCCTCTCTATTATTTTCTGAGGCTATGTCCACACAGCAGTGGCTGACGTTATTCCGAAATAACATAGTGCGAGTCTTCGCTACAAGCCTTTGTTTTGAAATAATGTTGATCTGGAGGACTTCTTATTCCAACTCATGGTAAACCTCATTTCACAAAGAGTAAGGGAAGTCAAAGGAAGAGTGCTCTTCCTTTGATTTCTTGGTGTGTAGACAGCGCCAAAAGCCGAATTCAGCTCTTTCGACTTCATCTACACAATTGACTTAGGTGAAGTTGCGTAGCTTAATTCAACTTTAGCCCTACTGTTTAGGCATACCCAGATGGTTTAATTCCATGTTTTTCCCCCCATCCCAACTAGTCCATCTGGTATAAATTTTTCCTTTTGTTAGATCATAGGACAAAAGAAGAGTCTGATTGATAGACTCCACTGGGGAGGGCAGGTCTTGAGGAAGAGGATGAGATTATTTTGGGGAAGAATGACTGTTAGAGTCTGGTGGAATGTACTTCTCCCTTGAGTTCCAATTTAATTTTCTATTAGTGTCCAGAAATGGCTACCCGTCTCCAGCACTATCCCCTGAAAAACTAGGCATTCTAAAGTTGGCATACACGCACGGAGATTAGCCTGTTGCTTGGAAGTCACAATTGGCCTCATGTTATTAAGAATGGACACTATATAATAAACCCCATTGTAATTTTATAAACTATACAAAGAAGGAAAAAACCAAGAATAACAACACGAGATGAGAAGAAACAAATATTTGGACTAACTTTATAATAATGTTTTGATAAAGCATTTAAAAGGAGGGGATAATAGCATGTTATCTTGTCTAGTTTCCTTCCAAAGATGTATTTTTCCCCCTTTGTGTTGACTTCGAGTGCTTTGACTGAACTCATTTCATTTCAGTGATTATTCCACTCTAATAGTCTTCGAATTTAAAAATTCCTTTTCCCTTTAAGTTTTTTCCATATTTTCCCCTCTAGACCCTTTCCAAATCATGACATTCTCTTTATCATTGAAAGAATTCTTTAATCTTCCTGAATTTGTTGCCCAAAAGTACAGGTTTGATTTCTCCAGTACTATAGAGTTTTTTTCACCTTTCATTCTTCTTGAAGCTATGGCAGAAGCCATATTTCAGTTCTTTTCACCAGTAAACTTTTTGGTTTTTTTTCTAAATATTTCCCTGGTACCCCCTGCACAGTCTATTTGTGTCTTACTGGTTTTCTAAATACTTTAATATTAATTGCCAACCCACTTCTTCTCTGTCGGTATTATCTAATTTGTTAGTCAGACTTGTGAGTAGTCATTTGGTAGCATCATACTGCTCACTTATTCATTACTCTAGCCATCTGTTTTTCCATATTGATGTCAAAGTGAAACTTCCAGTATCATGGAAATAAAGTGAAAACAACGGAGCTTTTAAATAGCTCCAGAACATTGGTTTTAACATTCAGTTATGTGAAATTGGGTGGCTGCAGATTATTTCATCGTTGTTTGAAATGCAGTAATCTACAATGCAGTAATGTACATTTGAGTGTCTGTCTGTGAGTTCATTTGTTCAAGAACTCCTAACAAGTGAAAGAAAGTGCCACCAAATTTCGTAGGCAGCTTCCTCTTACTCAAACTTTTAAAACAAGATTAGGGTTTGGTAGTGCCAGGAAAATGGGAAGTCCCTGGAATAGGACTGTTTTTCATAACATGGAAGGGGAGGGGCAGAGAGGAGGGATATGATACTCGCAGTGGCCACTGGGGGCAGTGAGCACAGGGGCGAGCTATACTGCAGAGTGAGCACTGGGGGGCAGGCGCATCACCAAGAGTGTGGCCAGCTGGAGCTGAGGTAGACCATCTTGCCTGTCACCAGACCAGGTGAGTAGCTCCTGGGGGGTGGGCAATGCCGTTGCCATCTGGAGGGGAGGAGAAGGGGGGAGAGAGCCCTACAGAATAGGACTCCCTGTCCTGAGCCCCTCCTCAACCCCCCACCCTGACTCTTACACCCCCCACACACTGCCTGCCCTAAAGGATCTAGACATTGCGCGGTAAGTCTTCTAGTTCAATCATTTTAAAGTATTTTAAAATCTGTTCATACCATATATAGATGATCTTTTAAAATACTGGCTTTTCAGATTAATAAGGGACTTGAACATTTAAATCATTATTAATTTACTTTCTTCTGACTTATTTTATGCCAATATTCCTCAAGCAGCCTCAGTGAAATCAAATGGAAAAGCTAAAGAGCGAAGATATTTCTCAGTGCATGTAAGAAAATCAAAACTGGGGCCTTTGTGGTGGTTCTAACAAGAAACATAAGGCTTTGCTCGACTACTTCCCAAGTGGCAATAATGCACGAGAGACCTGGAGGGATGCTTTATGAAGATGCACTAGTAGGGTGTTAAGTGCTTATATAGCCCATATCGTATCTGAGTTAAATAATGTGGCCCAAATTCTTTGCCATGCCCAGTCTTGGGGACTGCAATATGGACCCTTGGTTAGCCCAGCTTTAGACTGTAGCCTGGGTAAGGGGTGGGGCCAAATTAAGACCTTTAGAGGCCCTAAGCACTGAAAAGATTATGGTGCCCCCCCATGTAATTCAAAATAAAAACAATACTATACCGTAAAATCGTGTGTGTGTGTGTGTCCCTGCTTTGCTGGTGCCCTAAGCACGTGCTTAGTCTGCCTGTTGGATAATACAGCCTTGGTGAGGGGTATAATAGAGGTTTTATGGGTAAGGCTCACCAAGTTGACTAGAAGGTTCTAGGTTTCACCCTCCGTACCTCAGGTCACATATGGTTATACTTCTGGAGGTAGGTCTGGGCGTCCACAACAACACCCACACTCATAATGAAGATAGTACCAGATTACAAGTTTTATTATGACAGGTGTTGAAATGGCTAGCAGAACAAAACACACAGAACAAAACAACCAGATCTGGTCCCGGACATGGAAAAAGTGCAAGTTTTGTGGTTAGGTGCAATAAGGTCTGCTTTTTTTTAACTCAAAAGGACAGTTAGCTGGGTCTGGCAGATTCTGGTGTTTAGGTATCACAAGCTCACAAGGAACTGAGTCACACACATCCTTCTGTGTACTGACCAAAATGACGATTTTCCCACAGGGTCTTTCATAATTTCTAAAAAGAAATATTAGGAACAAATAAAGTCTAGACGATACATTAACCCTTTCTTATCCCACTATACTACTGTTAAAGCCAACTCATACAGGGCAAATTAAATCCTGCAGGCCTTGCATTGCCAGTATTCCTGCTAAAATATATGAAAAAAGAGAGGATAAGAAAAGGCTACAAGACCAGCTATAGACAACACACAAATTAGGACTTCACGAGGTACTGTGGTTCCTGCTCCCTGGTTACAGTGTCAGTAACTCAGATGACTTAATTCATATTGTTACATCATAGCAAAATACCCCAAATACATCATCAAATCTCTTTTAGGCGCTATCCTGCAATGCTTTTGTGGATAGGTGTGTCCTTTTGTCTAACGAGAGTGCCACTTCAAAAAGATTCAACAGATGTGGGTCTGGGCTACAATTAGTGCATTGCAGGGATGGGGCTTTAACATCCTATTACATTTGATCTTGGTAGTTATTAGAATAGACAAGGTACAACATTAAAACTGTCTTACTGATACCCAATTTGAAAGTATTGGTATTTACTGTGTTAAACTTCAGTCTCTTGTTATGTTCCATACAATAGAGAATATAAACTTTGTTGGGCCCATAAGAGAAACTGTTGTCACTACTGAGTGATTATCAAACAATTATCAGTAGAACTGGAAATAAGTAATATTAAATACTGCTTGTAATAACCAGCCTAAATACCAAGATAAAATCCAGTGATCTAAACTCTCCTTGTTGTAGAGCTTAGAACGCCCACAGCCTCAATTTCTCAAAATAACCATTCAACACAAGCATGTTTTGGCTTAGATTTCTTTCTGAGCTCTTGCCAGCTGTGTTGACTAACTTTTTCCATTTTCTTATTAACATTCTCTGCTTGTGAGATTCTTACTGTAATGGTTATGGCTAGCTTTCTGCTATACAGCTAATTGTGACGGGGTGATGGTGACATCAATGAGTGTTTCAGAATAAGATATCAATAACTGACGCATGTTCATATTAAAAATGGGGACAAATGAGATTAGTGGAGTGGGAGAATTGCCCAAGTGTTGCAAGGCCTAGTGATGTTTCACACCCTTATTGTCACTGAATTTGTAGTTGGTATTTTGTTCTCAATTTCTAGCTCATTGAAGTGTATTGAATATTTATAAATATTTAGGTGAGATAGGTAACTTCCTACCAAGCGTGTGTTTAACAACGGCCCTTTCAAATGGAGCTGTGGAAAAAAAGAGGGAGGAGAAGTCCTATGAAATAAAGACTATGAAATGTGTATGCTTTTGAAAAAGTAAACAACCAAGAGAGAGAATATTTGGGTACGTCTAGACTACATGCCTCTGACGACAGAGGCATGTAGATTAGACTACCAGGCATAGGAAAATGAAGTCTGGACATTCTGCGGTCGACATCAAAGGCATTTGTCGACCTCCCAGGTATGCCTCCTGGGATGAGGCATACCTGGGAAGTTGACAAATGCCTTTGATGTCGACCGCAGAATGTCCAGACTTCATTTTCCTATGCCTGGTAGTCTAATCTACATGCCTCTGTCGTCAGAGGCATGTAGTCTAGACGTACCCAAATATTCTCTCTCTTGGTTGTTTACTTTTTCAAAAGCATACACATTT